ACAATAATTCAGTATGATAACATTAAATCAGAATCTTATTAAATCCATCCGCTGTGAAGTGGGTCTGTATTGTCTTACTGAAGGTACATCTTAAACAATGACATTTCGACTGTTTAAAAACATTTTAAACCCATGCAAATCTGTACATAGTCGAATCTTTCCACGCTTGCACCATCTGTGAATGGTTATTATTTTTGTCATAGAAGTATAAAGCAGCTATGCTGATGATCACACAACAGTTTTAGGTTTGAAACTTAAAGAAAACAGTTGGCTTTAGCAAGGTATATTTTTAATAAGCAGAAAAGTTGGGGAAAAGATTTTTCCAGCCCAAAGTGAAATACACCATGGCACAAAAAAGTTTTGGCAGTTTAAATGCATTGCTTGGGGCACCCTCTAGAACAAGGGTCGGCAACTGGCGGACCGCGGTCCAGGTCCGGACCGCGGAAGGTAAAATACTGGACCGCCAAAAATTTTTTTAAAGTATAAATTACTCAAATAATTTATTTAAAAAATGTTTTTTACGTTTAAGTGCCAATCTTATCATTTTTTCTAGTATTTTACAATTGTGTGAGTGTTTTGAGTTCTTAATGTAGTAAGCAGATTAAATTTGAGTCCAAATTAAAATAAAAAAATAAGAAGTATGAATTTTTTTCTGGACCTCGTTAAAAATTTTCAAAAGTATCCGGACTCCACCTAAAATTACTTGCCGACCCCTGCTCTAGAAGATACAACGAAATCGTCGATAAATTCGAATTTCTCGTACCAAAAAACCCCTGGATCCGAAATTAGCTTGAAGTAGTCGAATTATATTAAAAAAACACCCTGTATCTCGAAAACTAAACATTTATGAGCAACATTGTATATGACTTTTCTCCATTAATTTTCGTCGTAGGATCTAAATCAGATAGAGAGTATAGTTTAGCCCATTCTTTAACAGAATATCTGCCGAACCCCGTTGTAGTTCTTTTTGGTTTCTAAATTTGAATAATAGCCTCGAAAATCTATCACCATGTATACTCCGAATGCTTTATTTGATAAAGCTGCATTATATTAATCAGAAATTAATTAACACATTTTAAAGTTTGAAATCAAACATTTACTATTAACGAACAATCCAGATCAACTAGTACTATGGCTAACTATCCTTTGTTAGACAAAACCTCCACGGGTCAATGTTCTCTGACACACATTGGGACCTGTACGCTGGACTTCTTGTATCACTACTGTCTGGATGTGTCTGGTGCTAATTACTGTTAAATACCCTAAAGAACTTTGATTCCTGAGTATGCGCATAAGGGCATTTGTCTGGCCCAAGTATCCCTATACCTACTATTCCTGTGTGAAGTCTTAACTCTTTCTAAACCTCTAGACATACCGTGTCTTCACTGTATCTGCCCGAGTGGTGTTTCTGCACTGTAAACAGAAACTGGTGCCCGAGATAGCTCTCGCTGCTCAAGCATCATAGTGGCCAACGGATTTTGGTGCCCACGAATTATTCAAAATAAAAACTAAAAATATATCTATATCATTAATACAAAAACACATACCTGATACACTGAAATTGTTAAATAATGTAATCATTCAGAGTAATATCTTGCATGTAGAGAGAGTTTAGTCTGAGCACTAACAATTAATTACATTACAATATTTCTAACTGTTTAGAAACCGTTCATACAAATTTCAATCCACTTGACATAGTGCGTACTCGATCTATAGATAATAAAAATACAAAAAAATTCAATTTCAGTTTCCTTTATTCAGTGCTACATTCAAGTAAAAACAAAATAAAGTAGAAATCAAACTATATATTTTTTAAAGTAAGTAACACATCGTAAGTTTTTAAATTTTAAAATATAAAATAAAGCAAAAACCACAAAAACTAGAACTAATATTTGACTCTGATTTGCGTTATTTCTTCAGATTGAGTATTGGCCAACACTTCCTTTAAAATAATTTTTAGAAGTATTCACTGATTCAATGTTATTTTCTTGTAGAATATTCCATTCAAAACTACCAATATTCATTCAAATTTATAGTATTTCAGGGATTATAAAAATGTTTATATATGTAAATAGTCTCTAATATTATACTCCCCTACATTCTTTACTTTTGTATTTAGAAAAAAAGTTGTATAACCAAAGTTTTAGTCCATTCTTGCAGTTTCAAAGTAAAAATATTGAGGAACAAGCATAGAAAACGTGTTAAATCTGTATTGATCGTTATTGAAATAAATTGAATAATAAATTCTAACTTCATGTTTCAATTTAAGCTGCTTTGAATTGGTAGATTCTGAAATACATTTTCTACTGAATTTAATGGAGGCAGCTCGACTCTGAGTTCATCATAAAATCATATCCAAAAATATCACCTACATTAAAAATGGATTAACCACATTTTACAAACTTGCTTTTCGATTAAAGGCTTTTCATAACTATAAAATAAAGTAGTAATTCTTTTTAATAGAATTATCTTTACATACAGGGTTGCAGTTAAAGACCTATCTTTAATAATAAGAAAGATAATGCCAAATAGGAGAATGTTAAAAATAATACTTTAAAAGATACCTATGTAAAAATACACAAGTTTGGTTGATATCTACGTCTGTTTTTCTAAATGTTACTTTGAAATTGCAAGCAATTTTATTAAAACTTTAATCTACATCATTCTTTTGTAAGTATGAACTTAAATAAAAACGAGGAGAATATGTCTATACCAGGTGTCCCATTTTTGTTGTCATGCAAGAGTATCTCAGTTATTAAGGACAGAACATTGCAATTTTTGTAAACTTGACTGTTTTTGGGAGAAATTGTCGAGTCAAAGCAAATTTTGTATGTTTTTTAGATTTATTTTTAGTCGTAGTCAACCTCAATCTTTTTTTTATTAAGGAAAAGAGAGAGCAGTACCTAACTTGTTTACAACAAATTATCCAGAGCTACATTGCGTGTAAAATGAAAGAGTATTGTCCTCCAACAACTTTAAGAATATTTTCATACATAAACATTTGGCCTTGAAGCCTTCATTTTTGAGATACAGGCTAGGTATTTGAAGTTTTCAAAAAAAAAAAGAAAATGCCTTCTGCTCTAATGAAGTTATTCCTGAATAAAATATCATTCAATGTAAAAACATTAAATCTCAGCTCAATCCAGTGGCAAAGATATGAGGTGTGCTGGTTACATATTCCTCAAAAATTATGCATGCCACTGGAAAAAATATGTTTTTGCTATTTCTATAATTTTGTAACAAATTAGCAATTTATAAAGATATATTAGATAAATTTAAAATTATGAATAACGTGAGATGTGTTAAAAAGTGTTTTGAGACAGCAGCATTTTGAATATCTACATTTTGTAAAATCAAATCAAGTTTAATTAATTATTTATCTAAATATATCAATTTTCCAAATTGTTAATTTGCACCAAAACGATAAAATTTATGCAAAAAAGTGGCAAAATCATTTTTGTTCAAAATAAAATTTGCATTTCAAAAATGACAAAAAAGTATTTTTTCCAATGGTGTGCCATATATATTGAAAAGATGTTTAGACCAGAGGATTTCTCCTAAAAACGTGGCTAATGTTAGCAAAAACCACAACTTTTTTGTTTAATAACAATAAAGATGATTACATGACGACAAAAACAGAATACCTACATTACACATCTCATACTAGAAAATTCCTAAGACTTCAGTTTTTGGTTCAAAATTATCAGTTGTTCATTGTTAAATTTAAAAAATACTTCAAATTTTATAATCACTAATAGATTCAATAGCCATTTTATTGAGTGATTAAAAATTAAATGATATCTTGTCTTGAGTGAACTCTGTAACAATGACATGAAAAGTTCAGATTAATGTGGATCTCTGAATCCTGTGTTTAATTTTCCATAAAAATGTGTAACGGGATATACTTTATCATCCAAACTAGTGTAAATATTTAAACAAGACTTGGTGCACATTTATATGACCATATAAATTGCTACTATTAGTATTTATGTCAACCTTCTCAAACAATCATTACCGGAGGTATGGGTAATCAATATCAATAATTTGAAGAAAAAATTATACCCCGTATACATTAAAAATGATACGCAATTATTAAAAAAAATTGGGAATACGAGTTTTTTCGAGGTGGAGCACAACCACTTGCAACACCCTGCAGGAGTGCTTATTGTATCTCGTGAGAACATGCATGATAGTTAGCTATTATAGAGGCTAGATTGATTGTTAAATTGTCCACATCAAGTAAAGAGTTTTGGTTTACATTTGATATTTTTTGGAAAAATTAAATGGCATATCTTCATAAGGAAGGATTTGTAGATGCTTATTAGTACAAACTTTTCATCTTATATTTATGAATGAAACAACCCTTAAAAGATGCTGCTTAATTCTGAATCACCTGTTTACTACACAGCTAATACTCATATACTTAATTTTTAATTTTAATAAATCACTACTTTGTTATTCGGGCAATACTCGTATAAGGCGACATATCACAATAGCTGAATTTATAAAAAGCTATTACAGTATTTTGACAGCGATTCTTTGGAGTATGATTTGTTTTAAGAAAAAATATTTATTTCAAAATTAATACTACTTAAGTATTTGATTATTTTAATTGTAATTGTAAAACTCTATTACGGTCAACAGTCTAAAATTTTGAGTGAGAAAAGTAAGTATTGCTCTATATTTAAATCCCCTGTCACTTTTTGATATATTTCAATTTTTCCCAGAAACAATCAGCTCAATAATATACAGTGTAGGAAAGTACCGATGGTCTATCAGAAGTTACGTGAGAGCGATAAAGTAAGCCATAGAAATCCATGTGATAGACAAAGATGGCTATAATGAAGGCGTCTAATAGTCAACGCCCATTTCGCCCTTCCACAAATAAGATCCACTTCTGATTTGTGGAAGGGCGAAAAGGGCGTTGACTATTACACGCCTTCATTATAGCCATCCTTGTCTATTACATGGATTTCTATGGCTTACTTTATCGCTCTCACATAACTTCTGATAGACCATCGGTACTTTCCTACACTGTATGGCAAGTGTCATTCTTGTAGGTAATACATTAAACATAAATTTCACATTTTTTTTCAACAAATTTGCACTTACGGCTTTAATATATAAATTAGTTAAGAACTTATGAACTAGATGCAATACTTAGATTACTAATACTAGTTGTCCTACTATTCACAGGAATATCAGTTTTTTTAAAGATAGCTAGGCCAGCTTTAACTAGTTCTTCAGCTATGTCCACATCTTTTTCATTATTTATTTCGAATAAATCTACACCTGGTACTGGCGAACCTTCACGTTTTGCCCTTGTTTTTTCTCTCACACTGTAACCATTTAATTTAGCAGACAGTTTCTTCCACTGTGCCACATGAGTCCATTCTTCAAATTTATCTACAGCTTCTTCAGACCATGCTTCTCCAATAGGTTCTAAAAAGTTATAAATATTAAAATATTTATTGACATCAATTTCAAAAGCAGAATATATTTTACGCATTTATATCTGAAAATGATAATTTCTGATCAGATAATTTCACCAATACAGGGTATTCTAAAAAGACTTGTGAAATCAAAAGAATTGATTAGATCAACTTACAATCAAGAAAGTTGAAAAAGAGAGTTGACACCTGTGAATCAAATATTTAACATTCTCAAGGAACTACATAGGGACTTTTTCCAAAGGTTCACAAGCCAAATGTGCCTATTCAATCAATAGTGAATGAATTTGCATCAGCCAGTCACCCTAACCCGTTCTTGTTACACCAAATTAAAGATTTAATGGAAAGACCAAACACCATGTCAAATACACCGGAAATTTTATGGACAAGATAAAGGAAATCTAACTAGATCCATATTATTCTATCGGCCTTCAAAAAGAAAAAGGACATCTGGAACAGTATTTTGGCTTTTTGCCCTGTTTTTGTTGGAAGAGATTTTGAGAAAACAGAGCAGCATTTGGATGTATTCTAATAAAAACATAAGATCATATCCATACCAAAAACCTCCATATCAAATTTTACTGAAACATCTTAGTGGCAATGTACATTAAAAAATTGAAAAAATAAAAATCTTTTTTGAAGCATTATATCTTTTTAAATAAGCAAAATGATATTAAGGCAACTTGACCTAAATTGGTTTATCTTCACCCAAAGAAGTTACTCTTGGAGTATGTCACATTCTTTACTGATATATCTAAGACGTATATCTGTAAGTTGGTACAAATCATCTTATTTTGATCCCAAAAGTATATAGCTAAGCGGTGTTCCAATTTTTCTGGGGTACCATGTATAACTTCTTTGATAAAAAATTATTTATGTTTAACAACTTTTCGAATGTAAAGTGTGATAAAAGAATACAGTTTCTATTAATATTTACTCACATTATATAGAAATAGTTTCACTTTTTCTCACATGAATATTTTACTGTTCGTTTATAATCCAATCAGAGAAAATGCCAAATAGATAAAAGACGGAAGGAGGTAAAGAATAGGAAGTAAGGGTACAGAATCTGTAGTCAGAAACGGCCATATTGAGAAGACACTTTGTAATTTTGGTTGTAATGTCATTGTGGTATCAAATGTTTCTTGCAGACTTTCACACAAATCAAGGGAAAACATTTTCATCAGTAAATATATATTTATATTGTCTTATTGTTATTTATCGCAAAATTACAGGTTTTTTTGTGGAATATATAACATTTTTAAACTGAAAGTGATTTTCAGTTGTTGTTAGTAGTCAGGAAAGTTGTAGCAGGATATTTTATTTGTTGAAATACTAGAAAAATAGTAAAATTTACTTAATCTGAGCATTTCTTTGTTATTTCTCTACTATTACTAACATAATTGGTGTTAAGTTATTGTCATATCTAAATAAATTAAAAAAAAAAAATTGCAAAAATGTTATTAATTTCATCTTGTAATAGGTACCTAACTACATTTAGTACATGGTTAATTTTACTTTTTTCCAAATTTAATTAGAACTAGTACTACTTAACAGTAGCTTAATAGTAATACTTCTTAAGATTGTAAATACATACTTACGATGTAGCGTGTTCACCATTTTCTTAGTTTTATACTTCTATGTAATATAGTAAGTATACATACTTATAACACATTTAATACAAATTTCATAACTCAAAAACTATATTCTTTTACCTATCGGTAGTGAATATGTAGACGGTTATATGATCTGCTGATTATAAACGAATAATATATTTGTCAAATAATTCCTCCTATTTTTAGTTTTCCAATGTACTTAGAATGGTATCGAGGTTGATTAGAATTTCTTGATATACAGGGTGTTTATTAAGTACTTGTACAAACTTTAAAGGGGGAATTTTTAACTAATTTTAAGATAAAAAGATCATACGAACACGGGTCCGCAATAGCTTGGTTCTTGAGATACAAGTAGGGAATTCGATCCCAGCCCTTATTTCTAATTTCAAGATTATACATATTTAGTTAATCCCGGGATCCTGGGATTATTTCAACAAATCAAAATTTAGACAGAAACTAACGTAACCAAAATTTAGACAAAAATCAACATAATCAAAATTTAGAGTATTTCACTCTAACTAATCAGACTTAAAGTCAGACTAACGAGATTTAAAATCACTGTCTTTATGTTAAAGTTATTCCTTTTCAAGAATCAGTGAGACTAAATAGCAGTAGCGGCTCGTCGTATAAAGCAACTGAAGCCGGCCTTCACTGTAAAATTTGGCTCTTACACTATGTATTTTAATACCCACTATTCTACTATTAACCTAAATAAACAATTAAACTAATTTCCAATTACATAGTACATTTATCAAAAAACAAAATAACAAAATAAAATAATTGTTTCAATATCTCGCCACGCGGCATGAGGTACTACACCCCAATCTCCCCACCACAGTGAAGCCGCAATTTGTTCACTTACAAGCGCGTCACACTTGCCTATTATGCTATGGTTCCCCCACCATGTGAGGCGGTTAAAATAACTTGCTAGGTATAGGGAATATTTAATAAAGTGTGAAAGAACCATTTTTTGGTACTTTATGAAGGGCAATGACAATCCAAGTTTTGTGTACAGTTCATTTTTGCATACAAAAAAATAATAATTCACACAGAAATTAAGGAAGGATATTTAGAAAATTGCATTCATTTAGAGCAAATTAATATTTTAAATTTTGCTACTAAAAAAATAAACTCAAAAACTGATAAATGAAACATATTATATAATGTTAATAAAATACCAAAAATCCAAATGTTACAGAAAATGAAGATGAATATAGTTTTACTTGTGGGGTCAATAACTATATTTTCTGAGGAAATTATGTTATACATGGCAGGATTTGTGGCAAAAAAATTGTGAAATTTTCTGAAATGTTTGTTTGTTTGTATTTCTTCTTTATTTGAAGAAAACCAAACATTTTAAATGGTTTTTTAAATTTCATCAACATAGAGTTTACAATTGTTTGTTTGCAGAATAACTAATACAGCATGAAAAAGAATGCGGGACTAGAAACAATAACAATTAATAGAAAATAATACTTTGAGGAGTTGTCACCAATTTTCTCCACTAATCCTTTTCTAGTCCATTTTTAAATAAGTTTATGACGAGATCATATAAAGCATATGGGCAAAACTTATTGTGTAGAATAAATAGCTACCTGAAATTTGATTTTATGCAATACCGTATACTACATATCACTAATCTAAAGAAAATTGTTGATGTTATATCTTATTAGGGTCTAGGAGAGGGAAGTATTCAATATAAAATTAAATTGTTTCATATATTCTGCTGAATGCCCAATGTCAAGTTTAAATAGTTTGATTATATTTATTAATTAAAAATCGTCAGGTAAAGGCGTAGGGTTGGGTACGCGTTCCCCGCTGAACACCCATGCACATGCATCTTTACATACGCAATGCAGTAGTGGGATTTAGGTAGAAGGTCCCACGTCTATCGCCTATAACATCAGTACCATTGCGCGTACCTCTAGATCTATTCAGGGCGTGGCCTGGCTACGCGCGGCTCCATGCTTGCGCAGTAGGATGGTGGGTATGGTCTCATGTTCATCTGCGGTATCACCAATGCCATTATGTATACTTTCAGACCTGCGTTGTCACATATTTTTCCCTCATGCTGTTGCCTGTTTTTTACGAGAGGTAACCAAATCTACTAAAGCGTTCCTCAGGGTTCATAATATTTTGATATTGTTCGATTTCCAATGCTTCCCTCTCATCAGGTTGTTAAGCCAATGTAATATTTTGAATCCAGCTGTTTCCAATTACCAAACTCAGAGGACTCCCCATGTAAACAGCATCGATTTATTCATGTAATCTCCTTTCCACGAGAAGTAACAAGAAGCTCAAATAGGGATAGCTCCTGTGGTAGGAACAAAAGTCGTAGTAATTCCAAAGTGTCTCTTACTGGTACCACAAGGACGCCATATCAAAGCTGAACAAGATGTCTGAGTCACTTATGGTTATGGTTATCCACGAAATGTGGTCCTATCAAAGCCATCAAGTGGTTCTCCAGTGAATATGTCGGCGACTCGATTGTATAACTATTGAATGAAACGAGACATTGGGTTTATGATTCTTAGGCAGACCATAAACAGGGTGTAACTTTGAGTGGGGGTCATATTTAAACAGAGGCTACTTTTAACCATTAGAAACACATATCAATAGTTAATTTTTTCAAATTCCGCCGAGATCTTATTTTATTTTTCTTTTTTTTTTTTAGTAATTTTCATACCCTGCTGCTGGACAAGCTAGTACAACCTCAAACATTGGCATGCTTTAGTTGCAGCACATACACAATAGAGAACTGGGCTATGCATTGTTGTCAAACCTCATAATATAAAGGAAAAGTTATTAAAAAGCAAATTTCCACACCACCCACTATGAGGTATTGCTCTTTGGCGCATTATTTTTATTGAGTGGAAATGAAAATTTAATTCTTGTAAATAAGATAAACTATGAAAAAGTACTTAACAAGTAATCTAACAGAAAACTCAAGCAGTAATCAATAAATGAAATACATAATGATAAGAACACAGCCACACAAAAAAATCCTGACCCAGAAACTAAAATTACCAAAAAGAATAAAGGAGAAATAATTCGATATCCATGTGATAACTCCTTAATTGAAAATCTACTTAATAAATAGTAACGAGCGTTCAAATAAAAATGTGGTCGAAGTTCGCTCTGACGCATTGGACGTAGGGAGTAGCTTATAGCGACCAACTTAACCTCATTTCTCAACGAGCTGTATAGCAGCTGTCAGTTTCAATAACGTTAATGACTATATAACTTTATTTTAAAGAATAATCGTGATAACAATAACAAACAATTAAAGGAGCTGCGGAAAATGTCCCCCTCCTTGTCATAACAATAAATTAAAGCAGCTGCTGAAAGTGTCCCCCTCCTTGTTCCAAGCACTTTTCACACCTGTTCCTCAAAGAATTAAAGACATTTTCTAAGATGCTCGGGGTATTGTTAATTTCACGAATCTTGTCTATAAGTCGAGCCTGCAGATGGTTTAAATCAGGAATAGGCAGTTCAAAAATAGTGTTTTTAAGGTAAGGCCACAAAAAGAAATCACACGGCATAATATCACATGACCTCGGTGGAAATTCATGTTCAGCATTGAGACTTATTAGTCGATTTTGGAAAACTTCCCTCAACATATTCATCGTCTCGCCTGCCGTATGTGCCCTTGCGCCATCTTGTTGAAAGTAAAAGTTTGTAATTTCGTTTTCTTCCAGCTGGTTAACAAAAGGAGCGATAATTTCTTCTCTATACCTTTGCGCAGTAAGAGTACCATTAAAACAAATAGGTCCATAAATCCTCCTTCGATTGAGAGCACACCAAACTCCAATTTTTTGAGCGTGTAGAGGGCCTCAACAAAAAAGTTATCTGGTTTTTCAGAAGACCACATTCTCATATTCTGTGAGTTTACGTAACCACTTAAATGAAACCAGGCTTCATCAGAAAAAAAGGTGATATTATGAAGTTCACCGTAGTTGTTTAAAAACTATTCACAAAATACAGTCCGTCGCGGAAAATCAACTTCATGAAGTTCTTGCTGACAAGTTAAACGATAGGAGAACAAACACAAATCTTTTTTTAACACTGTGTGGCAGGTACCGACTGATACTCCCACCATTTGTGATAAAACACGTACAGAAGTTCTTGGCGCATTTTCCATTATTTGTTGGACATTTTCTTTTAATTCTTCAGTCCGCTTTTTAGGTCGGCCGCTTCCTTCTTTTCTTGTTACACTGTCCATTTCACGAAAGACATTAACACAACGGTGAATTGCACTTTGAAAAATTTTGTACTCAACAACGCCGGGAAATTGATTTTGAAATTCTATGAAACATTCCTCAATAGAATACTTCCATATTCCATCAATCTTGTGTCCATTTCTAAAGTAGGGCTCTATGATAAACACTTTTTGTTCTTGAGAAAACACCATTTTAAACGCTTTTTAAAATGAAAATATTCAAATTGATAGCGGCGATATAGCGCTTGGACAGATGACGTTTAAGTTCATTTGCTATACGCTACGCCCTACGTCCAAATTTTCAGAACCAACTTGACCACATTTTTATTTGAACGCTCGTTATTATGACTATTGCTTTATATACATAAATATATGGAAGGCCTAATAGAATGATTAAATTTTTTTTAAAATACATAGGGTAGAGGACATTAAAATTAAATTTGGATCCAATAGGTCATATAAAAAAAAATGTGTCTAATCCAAAACTTCGTTAGTTTTTAATTTTGCTGCCATTAAAGGGTCGTTTTTGGCAATAAAATATCTTATTTTATGTGTTTTTGGCAAATACTCGCCCAAATTCCTATCGTAAAATAGTTTTGACATCAAATTCGTATTCAGCACTCCAAAATACATGGAAAAACACATGTCTGAATAAAAATTTAATAGATTTTTAGTTTTTCCGACAGCTGGTGCTTGTTTTAAGCGAAAAATGGCTATTTTTGGCATAAATTCGAAGATTATAAAAAATGTCAATAAAATGAAATTAAGCTTACAATATTCAATTCAAGGGGTCAAAATACATAAAGTATGAAAATTTATTTGTGTGGCTGTGTAATCTGTTTACTCACCCAATTTTTGCAACATATTACATACTTGAAATTTTATGCCTAATCTTCGAGTACTGTAGTACCAACATCCTCTTCAATGGTGTTTAAAATTTCTGGTTCCAAATTTCTTTCTCTGAATTTGTTCCTGTTCAACATAAATATGGAATCTATCTTACAAAATTTTCTTACTGAGTACTTGATAGTCGAGATAATCCATATGATATCGTCTTCTTGTAGCAGCATCGTTTTCTTTGGACAAAAAGTAGGTTATAACCATGTCAACCATTCTTGATTTGTATACATGCTTTTTCATAATATCAACTTTATACGGTTATTCATTTACACCACACAAAAGCACTTTACAAACACCCTCTCGTAAACTGATAAAGTTGAAACTAAAATAAAAAGTAACAAACCCATTTACCATCACGTTAAATCATACCAAGTGTGAAATTAATTGGCAGTAGACGTTTTACAAGCACGGAGATATGGCATTTCAACAGAACAGCCATTGCCCTTTGAAAGATTCAGAAATTAAATTAATTACACTGTTTAAAAAAATAGGAACACAATTGTCCATAAAAACTTAAATTATTTCAAAAAAATCAGAATAGTTTTATTTATTTTTTATGTTCATTTTCAGGACAAACGATAGTTCTATTTACAATTTACATACCATTATTGGTTAATTCGTCCACATTGACATAAAAAATATGGCAACTTTAAAATAATACATCATTGTCATAGAAAAGCAAACTGTTTTCACTAAATTATTTTCATTAGTTTCGCTGTTTAACCTTTGATTTAAATATATATATATGTTGAACTTCAGATTTCCGCGGATATTATATGTGTTGTCAAGATGTTTCCGGGTTCCTCTCCGCGTATGGTTTTCTTGATTCTGGATAGAATCGTGTTCTGGACGACGTTTCGGCAAGATCACACTTGCCATTTTCNACTAAATTGTTTTCCATTGTAACTTCACACAATTTAGGTTGATATAAAAACAACTGGCAATGTTGATAGTGTAGGAATAGGAACTTGCTAACTGCGGTGACCTTTGAGTGGCGACTGTAAAATTTTAACCACATTTAACCTCATTTCAGTGATAATACTTTTGTAGAAACCTAGTATATTTGCAGTTTACTTACCAATTCTAGCAAGAAAACATTCAATTGCCTGAAAATGTAGCCTAAGAAAATCTGTTCTTAATTCATATAGGTCTTTACAGGGTAATATATCAGTATCTCCATAATCTACATAATATAACTCTGCTCGTTTTTCGGAATTATCTTCACTAAGGCGAATCACCTCTGCTCTATACCTAAAATAATAACAATTATTTCGGTGTTTATTATTAAACTACTGAAATTTTTTAAGTTATATAATATAAATAAGAATACTCTTAAAAATATTTACAAAACTGAAAAATGCAAGAAAATAAACTGTAGTATATCTATGTATAAAATTACCATTTATTATCATATTGAAAAACGGCAGCAACAAGGTCACCTTCATTAATATTTTCTAATATGTGTAATTTTCGGTTTTCCTGTTTGTTGTAGTAATCTGTCATTTCTTCTACCAGACAGTCTAATTCTGTAGCTTTTGGACCTACTATTTGAAGCCAAAATCTCGAAGGATCTACCATTGCTGATACATACACTTCGAACTGAGCATCTGGTTGCCCTAAAAATTACATTCATCATTTGATACCTCATTTTTTACATAAATAAGGCAAATCTATCATCATTATGATCATAAATATGTAAATAAAACAGTAATAAAATATTTATTTAAGAACAATGTGGAAATAATACATAAATAATTTTTCAATAATCTGTACGATATTATTATTTATTTATACCTTCAAAAAAATTTTGACAATTTTTACAGGAAGAGTTCTGTAACAAGTGGGAAAAACAAATATAATACAATAACTATACAAACTTAGGAGAATGAGAAAAATCAAATACACTAATATTACGATTACATAACATAAAAAAAAGAATTAAGCAAGTGAGTTATGCATGAATTCCAACAGGGAATGACCTCTAGCATTTATGACCTTATCACAGCTATGCCTATGCTCAAACAAATTCGATTCAGCAATCATTTCATAGGCCCTGCCCTGTTGAGAAACATGACAAAGTCACCGCCAATAACGTAAGGAGCAGGTTAGGATAAATATCAAGTATTACAGTAATAGTTGTTTGAAAATGGTCCAGCATATGAGTAATGTCACACATAGCACAGTGATAAAATAGTCCACCAAGATGACTGATCGAATACATTACCTAACTTTGACATTTTTTGTTACAAATACTGCTAGACTGCCACTGCCTCTACCACGACTCTTATCTTTTACAACACTAGAGAAAGATATTATAAAAGGAAACAAATGCGGGAAGTTTAATGAACTGGAAGTATGCCACGTTTCACACAAACACAAAATATCAAACCCCTTATTTGTTCTAAGAAAGTTATCCAAATTTTTCAAATCCTTTACTTTCCCTTTACTGGTCTAGGAGAATTATCTTCATCTCTGGTTCTCTTATGATTCTCCACACCTCTAGTAACGATCTTAGGTACACTATTAACATATTTAATAGTTAAGTTGGATTCACCGTTCTGTTTGCGCGCTTCTAGAGTTTCACGAAGGTTTGAAAGATATTTCAGCTGAGTTGGTGTCAAATCTTGTTTGAGATTTTATGTTTATTGCAGAGAACAGTTATTGCGGAGAACTGTCTCTGTTTGATAATTGTGCTTTAAATAGTCTGGAGACATTGTAATTGCTTCCAACACGACCTCCAAATATGGTAATATTTTTATCAGGACAAACATGACTAAGAATTTCATTCACACCTGCAATATCGTGCTCGGCATCATTATTAAGAGGAAAACCAAAAACCATAAGATTACATTCACGCCTAGTACGTGCTTGTATTTCAGCGAAATTGGATTCAAAACCAACATCATTTATTTATCACCAAGAAATGAATTTTCAAGTTTCAGTTCCGCAATATCCAAAGTATGAGAAGACAGCTGAACATTTAGAATTCCGTCCATCCCATAGCACTCCAAACTGTTTCAAGATCAATTCATGAAAAACGCCAATGCAGAAAAGTCGAGGACGAACACAAAACATCGAAGTCCACAAAATTCCAAAATCACAAAATTAATTATGTTTTGACGTCAACCAACTGTTTCATACCCACCAGGCTCCAAATCACCTCAACATCGATCCATAAGCAACGCTGACATGGGAGAAAGCCAATGAAGAACGCAAAACATCAAAATCCACAAAAAACACGCACATGTCCATGGCTTAATATTGAGTCGTATTAAAAAGCAATCGGACTGGAACTGGAATCTATACATATAAAAAAATTGTGCAGAAACTCTTCACAAAAATCCATAATAGCAAATAAAAAAATTATTTGACATCATCCCCAAAAACGCACAAAATTGTCTCACCCTGTATATATAAAATGTCTTAATAAAACCAACTGAAACAAATTCTAAGAATCTACAATAATAGTAATAATATTAATTGTAGTTATATTTTACAACAGTAAACTGTAATGCAATATCAACATACACCTTATTGTTGATGAGTAATGTACCTGGTACAGGAGAAATTCGTTCAATTCCTGGACTATTAACCATCCTTGGAATATCTGGAAACTTTGGTGGTAAGCGTGGTTCTCGCTTTGATAAAGTAGCTTCTAATCTTTGTCGGGATTGTTGTGCTTGTTCTACAATATCCTCAATTAGAGATTTTGCAACATTTATTTGTTCTTGTGTACCTGAAATAATTAAATAAATTACAAAAAAGGAAAAAATCACAGGGAAGGAGGGGGGTTAGAGGTGACAGAATATTGGTCAAACAACATACATATAGGGTGATCACAATATCTCAGGGAGTGTTTTTCTTGAAAACATCTGGAAACAATTCAATATATGAAATAATTTCAAAATAATTTCATAATTTTACTCCTGCTGATATTGATGTCGCTGGAAAGAACTTTTGGCTGGTTCTATATTTCCAACAATTTTCAAGATATTAAGAATTGAAAACACTTTCCTGCAGTTCTCAACCTCAATATACAAAAAAAAAAAAACAGATGAGGCTAGAGAAATATTAATTTGAACTTTTTTCTTCAAAATAAAAATACTAGTTATTTTGCAAAATAAAACGAATTTATGTGACAATTTACAAACACCATCTCAATTTTTTTTATGGAATGTCAGTGTGTGGAATTACATAACTTCATCTCTGGGCAGTCTTAAATTCATTTTTATTACTTGTGTCAATAGCTTTTTGTGACCGGATCATTTTTAATTCTCCTGATTTCTTAGTATTTATTATTAGTATCCTTTTACACAATTTACAATTTTTTTTCAAATTTTTATTTCAACCCCTCAAGAAATTAAGAGCATTTGAATATTTCAGTTAAAAAATTTTTAGATACCTTTAGCTTGTCAAAAACTAAAGACATTATAAACTTTTTTTGCATTTTGATTGTTTCTGATTTAGTTTTATAAGAAAAATATAAAAATACATTTTTAATTTTTTGATTTTTAAACCAAAAAAGTGCTTTTTGAAAAGGAATGGCTTATTTAAAAAAAAATTGTCTTTCAATATGCAAATTTATGAGACAGGTTCTAGAGTGGGATCTTTTCTTATTCCGTTTTTTTGAATTAAAAAATTTTTTTTGTGCTTTAATTTTTTATAGATAATGTACGCTGTTAAACCAAATTTTATTATAGAGGTAAAACATGATTAGTTAGAAAAATACCTTATTTTTAAAACTATTTCTACTAATATTGTAATTATTAAATATTTAAATTATTATAACTAGATATTCCATTTGTATTTAATAAAAACATTTATACAGGGTGTCCCATCGGGAACTGCGCTGATCGATATCTAGGAAAGTACTGCTGAAATTTGAAAAGTTGGCAACATAGCAGTGTCTCTGGGACAAACACAACTAAAATATCTAGAACTCTCCAGCACTTCCGATTATACAGGAAGTCGGCACGAACTACGTTATTTTAAATGGGACACCCTATATATAATTGCATTTTCGAATTGTATGTGAAATTTGAGGTTCACTTTATTAAATATTCCCTGTACCTAGGAGTTATAGAATTTGAGGTATTAATATTTAAAGAAAAAATTTGACAGATGCAAGGGTCCGCGGAGATGCTAGTAACTCTTTTCAGGGGCGTGATATCAAGTGGATTTTTGGTACCTGTGCAGGGCATAGGTAACGCTAAACCTACAAATTAAAACATTTAATACTAGGTGTTTCATTTTTGCTGTTACAATTTCATAACTTTATAACATAACTTTATTAACTTAAATGGAACACCCTGTATTTTTTTTCTCTGTCGTATGCAGATCCTTTCAAACCATATAAGCATTGTTAGGGTTGCCATTACTACTTTTAGAGATGTTTGCAATTTTCTACTTTTTGGGCAGTTTTTCTTGTATCAAGCCTCTAAAAACAATTGAAATACCTTAACGTTTGTCAAGTTAGTTGTCAAGTTATTGTTGTGTTTAAGTAGATTTTGCTGAAATTTAAAATAAAAATGCCTGGGGATTACTTAAATGATACTAATGAGGATTATTTTAATTTGTTTGTTATTTATGGAAAAAAGCAGCAACTTCTCCACATGTTCTTGAAATTACTTTGTCACATTCTTCCATAAATAATAAACAATTTAAAATAATTCTCATTAGTATAATTTAAATAATCTCCGGGCAATTTTATTTAAATTTTCGGCAAAAACTATTCAGACACAACAATAATTTGACAACTAACTTGACAAATGTCAAGTTATTTCAATGGTTTTTGTTTATTGAAATATCGTACACTGTAAGTGTCGTTAGATCCCGTGAAATCCATCTGGTCATTTAAATTACTACCACCACACATTAAAATAAAACATTAATAGTTTTATTCCCATGTCCATAGTTATTTCTAGACTTGTCGAGTGCCCAAAATTCAAACAAATTCAATTTTTTTCATGATACAAATACATTTGACATGCTCTTTCACAGTTGCGGTTACAGATATAATAAATTCCGATAATATTACGCTGATATTCATTTTCAACCTTAGACAAAACAAAAATGTTTTTGAACATTTACTGAAATTTTTGAAAGAATAATATTCAATTGGCGTTTTGGTTGTTCATATGCATTTTTAAGAATTAATTTGTCATAATAAAATTAAAACTGTAATGTTTTAATTTTGACGCAACAATTTATTGAGTTATGTATGACAAAGTGATGGTAATGGTCAATAATAATAAATGTTTTATTATAACGTGTGGTGGTAATAGTTTAAATAACTAGATGAATTTCACAGGGTCTAACAACACTTACAGTGTACGATAATTCAATAAACAAAGAGATCTAAAAAAAAAATTTAGATAAATTTGGAACGAATACACTGAAGATAAAATTTCCAGACAAAACGTCTGAATCTGGTTCTGGCTGAGGCAGTACAGTATTGGGGGGTCATGAAGGCTTGCAAAAAATGTAATAAAGTTTCCAGGGTCGTATTTAAAAAAACGAAGTTGATGATGGTCCTGGAGAGACGAAACGTTACATATAAAAATTGATTATGCCATTTGATAGAGGGCAAAAAGGTGGCAATGAGAAAGTGTTCTTCTTTTTTCAATTTCACCTCAAACAAGGCTGAAATGAAATAAAAACGGATTTCCAAAATTTCGGTTTTTTTAAATATTTCAAAAACTAATCATATTAGCCTTGATTTTTTAGGCATAATGTTGGTCCCCTAGATCAGAAAAATCAGCAGTATTCAATAAAAACCTGATGATTATTAAAATGGTATTTATTTATATAATATACCAAGAAATTTACAATTATTTTTAGAGGCCATGTCCAGCGCAATCACAAAATGGTCATCAAATGCTGGTTTACATAGATTACATAGGTTCTGTATGTTCAGATGGCCTCTAATCCCACCAACGATATCGCCATTACATAAAACATTTATGCAGTTGCAGATGCTTACCGCAGTTAACAGCAGAATAGCAAACATATATGTCTGTCAGTGGCACAATTTCCCAAAACGTATATATCCGCTGGTAGCAGTTGCAGGATTAATAAGCTTTTAATGTACATCTTTCTTATAAAACATTTAATAAAATAAAAAAATTATCTATGTATATGAGAAACTGATATTATATTTTTTTGATAATCTAGAGGGCATCTAGAGACATCCCATGCATATTAAATATTGGAAAAGGATCGGTTATTTATGTTTCTTGATGGGCATTACTAGCACAATATACTACCGAGAGATCCAGAATGATTGAAGCGTTTGGGGAACACAGCCTGTTTCTAACATCATCTTTAACATATAAAAATCTGTAGTATTGACAGACAGGCACAGGCTGCGATCTCCAAACACTTCAATCATTCTGGATCTCTCTGTAATTGAATTCTGAAGATAAAAATCATCATCTACTATATTTCTATTTCTATTTCATTTTTTTTTTTGTGTAACATGTGATTCTTATATCTGGCAATCCCAGATAACTCTCAGCTGTCAAGGCTTCAGCCTGTATTTTTATTTAAAATACCTATCCAATGAACTAAAAATCCACCAAGAGCAAGTTTGAATGCAACATAAAATACACGTTATTAAAATAAACAATATCTTGTACGAAGACTAAAATAAATACATATTATGTTTACATGTAAGCTATTTGTATGAATAATTTGTTAAGAATTTTTATGACTAGGTATGAACAGATTTTGTTACCAATTTTATATCAATTGCATTCATTGATATATTTTTATTTTTCAAATTGGTTTCAAGCTCAGATTGAATGTTGAACCACGTCATATTTAAAATTCGCAATTTGGGACTACGACAAGCTTGTTCGTCAGACTTTTATCTATCGATTCACTTAATTCAGATAAGTACACATTAATTGACTTAATTGATCCTGTTAGTTCTGCGATCTGTAAATCGAACCTTCACATCGAGACAGGTATATACCATCTCCAAGTTCAGATCTGTTATCGCACAGGAACAGGTTGAACAAACTCTTATTGGCTTTTTTATAAAACCTCTCCAGTCAATCTATTAACATACTGAATTATATGGTATAAAAAAATATATATACATTTGCACCTTTAATTGTTACCCTTTTCGTCGTAAGCGTCTGTTCATCATCGCCAACTACTAATTTGGCTCCAGACAAACTCCTAATTTCACTAATTTTTTCGCCACATCTTCCAATAATTTTTCCAATACATGCTACTGGAACCCATATATCTTCAGATTCTAACACTGGTTGATTATTAATAAAATCAAGAATTAAATTCTCTGCAACATTACATGCCTCAATTGAACCTCTAATAATGCATAGTTTATCTTCGGCTCCATCCCTATCCTTAAAATTTATTCTCGTATTAGACTGTTCTTGTACGAGTTTAATATTCTTCCCATTTCGACCAATTAAAGCACGAACCATGTCCTTTGGAACTTTTATTTCCAGAGTTTTAAATTTTGAGGCTTGTGCATATACGTCAATGATATCATCATCCTCTTCTTTTCGGAATAGTAAGTAAAGCAAATATCCAGACAGTCCACAAATAGATAATCCAATGAAGGCTGTTAATGATTTAGTAATAATACTGAAACAAGAAAAAATTACTTTCAATTCATCAAATGTACTCGCCATTTACCTCATTATTTTTTGTGATTTACAAAAAAAAATAAAAATTCAATAAATAATCTTTAAAAATAAAGTAACTACAGAATCAAATTTATAAATAATATTTGAGGTTAACATTAACATCAGGCATCAGGAGGTGCTTTCGTTTTGCAGAGTGTGTTACACCGGGGCGAGAAGTTTTTAGTTGCTAAGTGCAACACGCTCAGGTGTCAAAACGAACGGATATTTTTCACAGGCGTCTGCATGTCAAATTCTCTTTGTTTTCAGTATTCAGTGCATGGAGACTAGATAAGGAGCACGAACTCATACGGAAAAATTGACAAAATTTGTCCAAGAAATGGCAGAAGTTGAGGTGGCGCTAGTGTTCCATATGTCCCAAATGAATGNCATGATTACATTTTCCATTCGACTCATGCATGATAGGTATATTTCATTAATTTCGAGCAAACTCATAAACCGAACTCGTGGCTGATCGGGTTAAGGCGCTCAATTTGGACTAGACTACAGTATGAGATCCGGGGTCGAAACCAGCCTAGGTCATCCTGTTTTTTTTTTCTTTTTTTTCTTTTTTCTTTTTTTTTCTTCTCTTTATTTATTATTGTTGTTTTTTTTTAGGTAGCAATGATTGTTGGAATAATAGGAGCATGTCGAAGGCATGAACTACATGACCTAAAATGTGAAAATGTCAAAGACATGAATGGAATCTTAATTGTTAATGTAATAGAAACTAAAACAAAAGTACAAGGAACATTTACAATTACCGGCAAATACTACGAAATTAGTAAAAAATATATGAATCTACGGCCTAAAATTTGCCCCACCCCATCTTTTTTCGTTAATTATTTAAATGGAAAATGCACAATTCAAAACATTGGTATTAATAAATTTGGTGATATAGGGAAGAAAATAGCAACATATTTAAATCTGCCTGATCCGAATTTATATACAGGGCATTGTTTTCGTAGGACATCTGCAACCGTATTAGTAGATGCCGGTGGTGATATTACTACATTAAAACGCCATGGTGGCTGGAAATCCAATTCAGTGGCAGAAGGCTACATTGAAAATTCGGTTCAGAATAAAATCAGCATTTCCAATACAATATTGAACTCTATTGAGACTAGCAATAATGAAATAAATGTAAATATTCCTTCCACTTCCAGATCAGTGGGANTCAGTTATATTTTTTCAAGATTGTCCAGCGTCACAGCACTGAGCAGTGAGCTGAGCTGATGAAGCTGTAACGAGTCACGCGTCGGGTGGTGTATAGTGGTGATACGATGACACCGCTGCGCTTTGTGCTAGGTGCGTCATCCGCCAGTTGAACCGATATTGCGTTATAACGCAATTGAGTTAACGCAGTGGGTTAACGCACTAGTGTGCGCTTGAGTTAGTGTATCAACGCAGGAAATTTTGCTGCGTTACCCATCTCTAAAATACTGGAGCATATTTTCATTAAGTTCAAAACATGTACGGTCTGTGAAACCCAGTATCTCAGAACATACTGTCTCACTCTAGCACGCATGTGATTGGTTGGAAATTAATGCTTTAACCAATCGCGTGCGTGCTAGAGTGAGACAGCATGTACTGAGATTCTGTCTGTCTCTCTTGCACACTCAGCCACATTTTTCGCAGTGGCATGCTATCTCAGTTCAGTGCGAACAGCCGAGCTGAGCGGACGTGCTTGTTTGAGAGGTGAAGTGATTGCAACGAGCAAAATCTACNCTGAGCTGTTTCTTAGTTTTCACTACTCTCCCTCGACCTTTCCGGCTTGGGTGACCCTGCCAGGAGTATGAAACTCCCGCCGGTTTAGCTCTTAGGTTCACTGTAGCTACTTAAGCCCGTCCACCAACGACAAGGTCATACAGCTCCCAGGAGAGGATGTTGCAGGCTAGTATCATATCCTTATTCATTCCCGGCCAATGACAATTGGCTTTTTCAATGCTCTTTCTTATACCCAAATGGCTATTACAATGCAGTTTCGACAAGATTTCCTTTCTGAGTTTATTTGGAACAATGATTTTAGTATCTCTATAAAGTAAACCGTTATCCTCTGATATTTCATGCTTAAATCTAAAGTAAAATTTAATATTGTCGGGAACTTGTTTTAATTTAGTCGGCCAGCCCTGTTCAACTTGTTTTTTTAAAGAAATCAAAGCTGCATCCGTTCTAGTTTCCTCCAAAAATTCCTCTCTTTTTTCTTTCGTCGCATTTAAGTTCATCTCAATCAGACAAATCTGTGCATCCATCTCAATGTCAATATTTTCATCAAACTTTTTATTAATATACGCTCTCAAAAGTGTATCTGCAAGAATTAGTTGTTTACCTGGGTTGTAAATTAACCGAAAGTCATACTTTCGTAATTGAACTATAATTCTTTGTAACCTTGCAGGACATGAGTTTACTGGTTTATTTATTATTGATACTAGAGGTTTGTGGTCTGTATCCACAGTAAATTTTCTTGAAAAAAGTACATACTGAGAAAAATGTATTACTCCGAACCAAACCGCCAACAATTCCTTTTCTATCTGTGAATACCTTGTTTGAGGACCAGTTAAAGCACGTGAAGCATGGGCGCAAGGTCACCTTTCCTGCATCAAAACCGCCCCCATGCCACTCTTTGAGCTATCCACCGAAATAGTTACCGGCTGATTCGGATCAAAAAATTTTAAACACGGGCTTTTGCATAAACTATCTTTTAAGTCATTGAACGCTTTTTCTTGTTTTAATTTCCAGTCAAAAATAATATCTTTTTTGATGAGTTCCCTAAGTGGTGCAGTTCTTTCACTCAAGTTCGGTATAAATCTACCTAAGTAAGTGACTAGACCTAGAAATCTTTGTATTTCACCCACGTTCGTAGGATGGCCTCTACCTTTGATTCGTCCGGTTTTAACCCCTCGGAAGTAACTCTATACCCCATGTATTTTACCTCACTTAGACCCAACCTACATGTATCTTTATTAAATCTTAGATTGTAATCTGAGGCTCTTTTTAAGACTTCCCTTAGTTTTTTGTCATGTTCTACTTTATCTTTTGCACTTATTATTAAATCATCAATGAACATTTTTACCCCCTTAATATCCTCGAATATTTCTGACATTCTTTCTTGATATANTTCACAGGCGCCTGCATGTCAAATTGTCTTTGTTTTCAGTATTCAGTGTTTCGGCAGATAGGGAGGTTAGGTAAGTTAAATTTGTTCTCGGATTTGTTTTACATATTTTAGAAGGGAAAATACTTATTTATATTTTATAATAAATGCAAATATAAATGTCTGTATTAATTTACAGTCTGAAAAATATCGTGGCTGAAATGGAACAGATTGAAACGGAAGGTGTTGATATTGTTTTGAATGATGCAGAGTCGGGCAGAAATTATTATTTAAAACTAAATAAAGAAGATAGTGAACGAGTACAACATGGTAATTACAAAATTGAATTTGTTTACAAGTTTTACTGAGATAGGTACACCAGAAAATATGGATATGCTAGAGTAGCATATCTGTAATCTCTGAATAGATATCAGAAATTTATTTGTACTTCTTAATTGTTGTAGATGAAGTATTTGCCCAACAGTTATTAAACTACGCAAAAAATCATCATCTCAACAGGCCACCGCCAGTCAAAAGTGATGGGAATCTAAAAACAGTAATGCAAACACCAAAAAGAAGTGATGGTGGGAATACTGCAATGAAAACATGTACTAATGTAAATACGGTAATGCAAACACTAAATAGAAGTGATGATGGGAATACTGCAATGCAAACATGTACTCAATCATCCACATTGCTGGAACATTCTAATGGTAGTAATGATGCCGCTACTACTGCTGATAGAGTACATTGGCCATATGATGCAGTATTTTTATTAATACAATCAATGGAAACAAATATAGAGAACATGTCACATCCAAAAAAAAGAAAGCATGTATTTGAAAATGTTTGTAATGATTTATTGAGTAAAGGATTTTCCTTTACATATGAACAATGTGCACAGAAATGGAAGAGCTTGGAAAGATCTTACAAAAATGCAAAAGATAACAAAACTAAAACTGGACGTTCTCCTAGCCGTTTTTATTTCTACGATCAAATGGATAATATTTTAGGCAATAAACCTACTAATAGTTCTGAACATACATTGGAATCCAGCGAAGATCCAAATGAAAATGCTGCTATAGAAGTTGAAGGTATTGATGTAATTGATAGTGACACAACAGAAAGTAGCTTTGAAAAACCTACTGCAAAAAAAAGAAAAAGGAGAGTAAATGAAGATTATTTTGAATTAAAGAGAGAAATAGAAAAAACAAAAATGATACGCCACAAAGAACTGGTAGAATTAGAAAAGAAAAAATTAGAAATAGAAGAAAAAAAGATTAAGGTTTTGGAAGATCTCGCCAACAAATTATAGCTTTTTTAGTTACAATGTATAACTTATTGTTTCATATTGTTCAAAACTTATATTATTTAAAAATATATAAATTATTAATAATAAATAAATAGAAGATATATTCAATGACCTAATGTCCTCTAATGTCTGGTACAACCAAACGAATTATTTCACTTTTTGGACCGTTTCTAATTCGACTCCAGATCTCCACTTGTGTCTCGAAATCTAAAATCAGTCAAGAAGTCGGACCAAATGGTGGAATCATACAAATTAGAATATAGTTTACTTCAAAATATACTTAATTATTTATGTCCAGTAAATTTTGTTGATGTTAAAATTTTATATATTTTCAAGACTAGATTTGAATACTCGAGATTGTTTTTTTATTGATGTTAATAAAAGTCGTTTAGTAAAAGTAATCTTTATTGAAATAATCACGAAATTATCTACTGTTTATAATATATCTAAATATTGTATCTCTTATATTATTAATTCCATCAAATTGCTCATTGTTTTGATCATCGATGTTTTCCACCGCTACAGGAGTTATCTCCGTTCTATCTTGTTCACAAATATTATGTAAAACACAACATGCCATAACAATCTTGACACATGTCTTTATATCTAAGTTAGTTAAATGAATTAATCTTCTAAACCGCCCCTTTAACATGCGATAAGTGTGCTCTACCACAATTCGTGCAGAGGAATGCTTAAAATTAAAGTATTTTTGATTCTCAGTTAGATTGCCAGTATCTTTAAATGGAACAAGCAACCATCGTAGGTTCGGATAGGCAGAATCTCCTAAAATATAATACTGCCCAAAATAATCAGGATATTCAGCTTTCAGGTATAATTTTGATTTTCTAAGCATTCTTGCATCATGGACCGATCCAGGTTCTCCACAGTAGACGTCTATAAATTTGCCAGGGTAATATACAACACCTTGTAATAAAACACTATGAAACCCTTTACGATTTACATAGGAATCTCCATTTTTCAAAGGGCGATTTATTACAATATGACAACCATCGATTGCACCAATGCAATTTTTAAATCCTTTTTTTCTTTCAAATACTTCAGCAATACTTCTTTTTCTATAATCATTTGGCCAAATAATGTAACTTTTTCTCATTTTGACAAAAATGTTTATTACTTTCATAATAGTTTTGTGGGCTGTACTAAAGGACACATTAAAACGATCTGATATCTGGCGGAAACTTTCACTGTTGCTCAAATACCAAACTGTCATTAACACTGCATCCCTCGTTTCAATTTGCTTTTTTCCTGGTAAATAGAGTGTTTGAAATCCTTGGGCATTTACAGTATCTAAAAAAAATAAATTTAATTTATTTAAAAATCACAGAGGTACAGTTATATGTACGTAGAAGTTATACCTTAGTTTTTCAACAAACTTTGTACTATATAAATATTATATAGGGAATTGGAAATCTAAGTAAAATTATAAGCAACTTACTAATCAACTGCTCTACTGTTGATCGTTCTAAACGAAAATGAGACTGAAATGTTTTGTCGCAGTATGAAGGTACTGTAATTTTGACAAAATTTGGAATTCTCGTTAATACTCTATTATTTAATGCAATACCAGAATACATTTCCATATCAGACTCTTCTGTTGAATCACTATCTGAATGTGCGATTGAACGTTTTTCCGTTACTAACACACCTAAAAGTATACAAAAACATTTATTTGTACATTTTCATGTACCATAAAAGTATTACATTACCTAATATTTGTTTAATTACATTTTCTTTTAAATTAATAGCAGCCATTTTTGTAGGTTCCATCATGTAATTGTATTTTTATGGAATTTTCAAACATGAAACATAGCTGATACTACAAGACATATATCTGCCTACAACTGACATTACTGACAAATATGATAACATATAACATAACCACAAATATTTTCTAGGGTTTCAAAACACCATACATTAGGTAGGTGCATCAGGGGAAAGCGGAAAGCAACCTTGAGTTACAAACACCACAATATTTTTTTCAAATCGAACATAAGGTTTAATACGTTGAGTTGCTAATAACTGCTAATAGCTACTATATCTGTCAAAACGAAAGCAACTCAGTCATCACCCTTATAATCCATGTTCAATCTTCGAAGGCTTCTTTTACCAGGAAGATCAAAATTTTCCCCGGAATTATTCTTCACGTCTGTTGGATTACCTCGAACCACGTATAGGCTTGGCAAATTTTTTTCCAAAAAAGTCGAGGATTGCTCGGATGATCGCAAATTTATCTTCCGTCGTCTTTACTTTTGTCGCTGCGCGATGTAAAGTGTTTTAGGTTAGGATTAAGGGAGTGTAATGATGCGTCACGTTTCAGGTCAAGATAACAAGTGTTTTATTTTTTAGCTCCTAATCTAACGCTCGTATCAACTTCGGTGCATGCAGTGTTGCCAACCTTAACAGGGGAAATCTATTAATAAATCTTTTACAGAATATTATCTGTGCGTGATACAATATATGACCGTTTATTTTTTATTTCTTTGTAATAATTTATGTACTAACCCGTTTGGTAAAAAAATTAAGTCATTTTCCGTATTCAATTTTTTTCTTCTACAGACATGTTCGGGTTTTTTCCATTATTATTGTCAATAAATGAAAATAATAAAAAATTATAAGTTTATTTACAATAGATGAAAAAATTCTAGAGATCCGAAAACTCTAATAATTTTCAATCCTTTTTTGGTGTAAATAACAAGAAAAATGACTGAAAAATAATAATCGTGATTTTTACTAATTTCATTATTTTCAGTCAGAAAGTCATGTTTACACTGATCTGGATTTTCATTTCTTATTTTATATGACACTTCATTAGGATAATTCATTAGTCCTCTGCAAGACAGATCAGGAGCGCGCCAACAAAAGAGTAAGTTTTGTGAATAAATAATTCCGCTTCTGTAATAGCAAGATTTTTCAAAATGAAATATTGTTTCTTGGCAATGTTTTCATTTGTAATACCATAGTCCACTGCAGGAGTATGTATTTCCTTATCACTCAATATGGTGTTTGCGATGATTTTATGTGAATTTTCATTTTTACATTTACATATTCTACCAAAATAGGAAGCTCTAACTCGTTGTCTGCGTTCACTTCTCCAGAGTACAATTCCTTTGTTGAATAGTGTTCTTTTGTATTTCAACTTTTTCATCAACTTGTGACATTTTTTTAATTTGCATTTAATACACGAAGCCATAGAAAGTGAGGACATTTAAAATGAAGTTTGCTATTACTTACAATATTCTTGAAAATGTAAAAAGAAATAAAAGTTTTTAAAAATTTTTAATGTTTTATTTTTTTTAATAAGTAAATTTTTAAAATAATTCATTTTGCCACAATACAGCTCCTTCATTAACAAAGTAATCTCTAAATTCTTCTCAAACAGATGGACATGATTCTCTTGATCTATTGCCACTTTGATGAGACAGACCATATTTGAAAATGTAGTTATTGTCAACATCTTCATTCTGTTGAAGATAATTAGGGCATTCTGCTCGTAAAAAAATATGTAATGCACATCATGCTAATGTTATCGTTTGAACTTTTTCGGCACTCAAATTTATTGTATTGAGAAAAATTCTAAATCGATTTGCTAATATTCCAAAAGCATTTTCGACTATTCTTCTCCCTCGACTTAATCTGTAGTTGAAAATGCGCTGGCTATTATTAAGGTTTCTTAAAGGATAGGGCTTCAAAATATGTTCAGATAGAGGGAAAGCTGTATCAGCCAAAAATACATGTGGTACAACCATTTGTCTGCCAGGCAAATGTTTATTTTCGGGTATATTTAATTGGTTTTGCATTAGTGCTTTATATAATGTAGACTGTCTATAAACACCTCCATCTGAAATTCGACCATTAACTCCTACATCGACATAAATAAAGTTATATTTTGCATCCACAAGTGCTAACAAAACAATACTGTGTGTTCCCTTATAATTGTAATAGATAGAACCAGCAGCCTTTGGAGCCCGAAAAGTAATGTTTTCCATCGAGAGCACCAATGACATTGGGAATATTCCATATATTATTAAAATCTTTGGAAATATTTAACCAATCAACGCTACAATTTGGAGTCTACGAAAAAAAAAATAAGAACCATATTAGAAGCAGACAATTATTTTCTTTAATATACTTACTTTTAAATATTTTGGTTTTAAAGCATTGTAAATAGCTCTGCATACTACAGGAATAAATAATGATATTGTAGATTCAGATATTCTAAAGGTGTACGGTGGTAAGGTGTATAAGACTACGATATGTTTCTCCTGTAGTGAGGAATCTAAGTGTTACTATTAATTTGTCCCTGGCACTTATTGCTTGCCTGAAATTAGTGTCTCGTTTTTCAATTCTTGTTTTAACTAGATTTAATAAATCGTCAAAAGTTTTTTCAGAAAAACGTAAGAATTTTTTAAATTGTTCAGGATCTTTTTTGAACTTCAATTTTGTTAATTTGAGACAACCTTTATTTTTATTTTCTAACCAGGGCCTAACCCACCATCTTCTTTTTGTCTCATTTGAATCTAGTGATAAAGTGCTGGCTACAATTAATAACACTATAGCAATACTTTTCTATTTCTTCTTTTACAAATACTGGGATTCTTCAAAAACATTTTATCTATAAAACAATATCGTTTTAGTTTTACCCAGTACATAGTTTATTTATTTATCCACAAACCTAACCTTAAAAATGGAATGAAATTTGAAATTTATTTGCTTCTTTGATTTGTTGGTAGAACTGATTAATACGTTAAAAAACTTGACAAAGTCCGTGGCAATGTAAAACCACACTGTTTATCAATAAATTCGTCAATTAATTGATGAAGGACTTCGTCAATTTATTGATGAATAAATTGTCACTGTAAAACAGCTATTACAGTTCTGTTGGTGCTTTATGAGCAATCTGTAAACATCGTCCTTCAAAGTGTGTATGTATCTTTCTCGGTCTCCTATTCCATGTTTCCTGCGATTTTGTTTCGTTATCTGGT